GTTTGGTAGGGCTTATTTCCAGCTTATTTCAGCTTTTAGCTTAATTTAAGCTATTTTGATGTGTTTGGTTCAGCTTAATAATACAGATGAATTCTTTAATTATACATTATATTATGTTTAGTTATGGTATTTTTTTTAATTATGACTCAAAAAATTAAATTATGCTATTTTTTTTTAATTATAAGGTGCATATAATACATAACCTAATATTTTCTTTTTTTGTATTATTTAAATAAATGTTAAACACATTAGTTAACGAGTCGAGTTTTGATATATTTAAATTTTTTTATTAAAATTTTAATGAGTTCAAACTCAAATTCAAACACAATAAAAATTTAATAAACAAAATTCAAACCAGCACTTACCTAACCGATCTAACCGAGTTCGATCTTGACCCTGTTTGGTAGGGCTTATTTCCAGCTTATTTCAGCTTTTAGCTTAATTTAAGCTATTTTGATGTGTTTGGTTCAGCTTAATAATACAGCTTATAACTTTTTTGTAAGTCAAAAATCAACTTATTCTTTGAACGGGGGAGGAGAAGCTTAATTTATAAGTCAAAAATCAGCTTATGTTCACAGTTATAAGTAATAAGCTGTTAGGCTATAAGTTATAATCACTTTTCCACAGCTCTACCAAACGGCCCTTGTGCATGGATCTTTTGGTTTGCAGTCCTACTTGGACTTGGGCAGGAAGTTGGAGTACAATGAGTGAGAGAGTAGAATCTCATCACCACCATTCATTTTGAGATTAAATAAATCTCAGCCGTTCAACTATTTGTATGTGTGGAATCTCACCCATTCATATTATTTGTATCTCACAGATTTAGGTCATGGGATCATGTTCTTATCAATGATCCCAACCGTGCATAGGACAATTGTTTGTAGAACAAATTCAAAATCCTACTTGTCATATTATATAGATATATATGTGTATGTTTAAAATATAAGTTTTAATTTTAAATTGAAACATACTTTGTATACTATTTAAGTAATAAAAGTGTTCTTTATCGTATTAATGAATCAACGATTATAGGTCCAAATTTTGTGCCCTTCATATAATTACAAATTTTTTATTTTTGAATAAAAAAATTAACATATGACGGAAGAAGAGAAGATTACTTGACAAAAGAAGAGAAAGAGGTTCATGGAAACCAATTGAATTGTTTATTTTTAATAACGGTATAGATAGATAGATATAAATTGTTAGATTCTATACAATGTTAGGTTGATTTTAATTTTTAAGTCGCTATTAATTTTTTGATGCATTACTATAGATTTAGAGTTTTTAATTCACATTTTTTGTTTTTGTTTTTGTTTTTGTTTTTGTGAACATTTTACTATTTGTGTCTATTTTTTTTAGATACACTTAATTTTGATACATTTAAAAATTTAAAAATTTGTGAATTTTTTTTTTAAATTTACTAAATACTAAAAAATATAAAAGAATATAAAGATTAGTAAATTTTCCTGTATTTTTTTTTTTGTAGTATTTATTTTTGTGAACATTTTACTATTTGTGTCTATTTTTTTTAGATACACTTAATTTTGATACATTTAAAAATTTTAAAATTTGTGAATTTTTTTTTAAAATTTACTAAATACTAAAAAATATAAAAGAATATAAAGATTAGTAAATTTTCCTGTATTTTTTTTTGTAGTATTTATTAAATTTTTTAAATGACTAAAATATTAAAAAGTTAGCTGAAAAGAAAACAAAAAAATACTAACTGTTGTTTTTAAAAATTCAAAACTAAAATAGAGTCAATGATCTTATTTAGATTAATTAGAATACAAATATTTGAAAGAATTTTTTTTTTGAATAATTACCCCTAATAATAATAGTAATTAAAATAATTCAATAAAATAAAATAAAATAAAAAGAAGAAAAAAAAGAAAACACATCAACCAAATCAGGGCTTAATAGCTTAAGGCCAAACACGTGGACGGTCCCACTACACTCTCATTGCTATCATATGGTGTGACACCCCCAAAATAAAGTATTATGAGGCCCTGTTTGTTTTCAGAGATAGAATGGAGGGGATTGATAGTGAGGTGATTAATAGTGAGGGGATTGTTAGTGAGAAATTATTAAATTATTTTTATATAAAATAATAAAATAAATACAAAAATATAAAAATTAAACATTAATATTTTAAAAAAAATTCTCAATATATAAAAAATAAAAAAAATAAAAAAAATTCTAATCCCTTCACTATTTTTCTAATACCATCTCTACCTCCTCATTATGAATCCTCCTTCCAAGGGTATTAGTAATACCAAAGTATTAGTAGTCCCAAAGTCATCTCTCAAAACAAATAAGGTAGTAGTAATACCAAAGTATTAGTAATCTCAATCCCCTTCCTATAACCCCAAACAAACAGGGCCTATAGGACAACCAATTGAGAAGTAGAAAATATTCTCACTACCCTTCGCAGCTCATCACATTCATTTTATACGAGGGAAATCGGAAAGAGGTGAAAAAAATTATCAACATATATAGATGTATAAGTGATACTTGTATCTTCACAGTTTTTCATTTACATTTCACTATAGACACTTATATTTTAATGTGTTTATAAATTTTTTTCCCTTCTCTCATTGCATATAGTTTTTCCTTTTTATCTTGGAAGAAGTACGTGCAAGTGGAAGTCGAAATTTTTTTTACAAATACAGGGTGCAAGTGTACCTGTGATAAGGTGCAAATAAAAAGCTGTGAGATACATTGGGTTGGTAATATTTTTCCCCAACTTCCATCGATATGTAGTTTCCCTTTTATATTTGTATCTTTAGCCACATGTTTTCATATCAGTGGACAAACATGAAGCCCTCATGGTTCACTTGATTACTCACGGGAAAGTGAAAACCCCAAAATAGCAACCATGACGTTATCACTGAAAATAGAGAGTCTCAACCTATTACGGAATCGAAACCCATTAGGCCTGTCCTTTTACAAAACGAATACGACGTGCAATTAGTTGTCCTTTTTAAATCAAACCTATAGTATCTCGACATGTAGTATAGAGAAATATTATTTTGTTACCTAAATTATCTCATAAAAATCATTTAAACTCTTAGGTCATATTTGTTTGGGCGGACTGGATTAGCATTCCCATGATTAATAGTCCTAGGGGTACAAATCCATTGGATTATGTATCCTATCTTAACTAATAGTCAAGTTTAAAATAATTAGTCCGTACTTCAATTGTTTAATCAAACATTGAATTAGTAATTTTATTGGACTATTAATCCAATCTCAAGCTCATGTCCATCCAAACAAACATGACCTTACTGTTTTGATAATATTAATTTCATATCTAAACTATTTAATTTTTTTAATCAATTTACTCTCATTTGTTTTCAAAAAACAAATAATTTTTTACTCTCGTCATTAGTTGTCGTTTATAATCAAACAAAAATTACTGACTTGATACTGAAATTTCATTTGAAATTTTATTTTACCTTTAAACTAGGGGTGGCCATCGGCCTGATGATTCGCCCAACTGTCCTGTACAACTCAATGTTTTTTCGACTTGGAAAAAATATTTAATCTATAGGATTAGGCTAGACAAAATTTTTGAGTGCATTTAGTTTTTGAACTATACTTGAAATAAAGTGTTTTAACTCAACCCATCCCATCCCACCTATTTAAAAAAATATTAATTTTAACTTTTATATTATTTAGTTAAAATAAATAAATAAATGAAGAAAAATACACATATATATTTCTTTCTATAACTTAAATCAAAGGACTTTTTAAAATATTATATTTATTTTATTATTGAATTTTATTAATAATATATATATATATATATTTGTTTCTATAACTTAAATTAAGGGACTTTTTAAAATATTATATTTATTTTACTCCAAACTATCTCTAAAATATCAACCCCAAAATTTCATTTTATTTAGGGTTTCATTGATATTTTGAGAATAATTTAGAAGATAAAAAAATTTCAAATAAAATTTGGGTCTCACATCAACTATTTCTGTTTGATTATAAACAACAATTGACAATATGGATAAAATTGATAGAAAATTAAATAATTTAAGTATAAAATTGATATTATTAAAATAATAATGGTTGAATTAATTTTTAATTGATAATTTGAAAGGTAAAATGATATTTTTTTGGGTTCAAAAAATGATAGTTGGAGTGCAAAATAAAACTGTAACTAAAGTTTTGGAAGTAGAAATTAGACAAATTTAAACGGTTTCACTATTTTTAAAATTAGAATCAAAATTAATAAAAATCAAACCAAATCGATAATTTTGACTAGAATGGATCAATTAATCAATTCCTTCAGTTTTTATTTTTTATTTTTTTTTATATTTATAATTGTAGAAGACACTCGATGTAAAATCAAATAGTTTGAGTATAAAATTAATATTACTAACAAAACATGGATTTAGTAAATTTTTAGACACTAATTAGTGTGTTTGGTTTCAATTTTTTGAAAATTAAGTTTTTTATTTTTGTTTTTAGTGAATATTTTTAAAATTTTAAACAATTTTTTTTTAGATGCACCTTACTTAAATATCTCTAAATAGTAAAATATTTGTAAAAAAATATTTTAAAAAATTAATAAATACATAAAAGTACAAAAAATAAATTGAATTTTTGTATTTTTTTTTATATTTTTCATATTTAGTGAATTTTTAAAGATTTTTCTTCACAAAAATTATACTTTTTAAGTGTATTTATATTATGTGTATTTAAAAATTAAAAAAACTTACTTAAAATATTTAAAAAATTCAATAAAAATAAAAAAATACGAAAAATAAAAAAAAAAATTGAAAAGTGAATTTTAAAAATTGAAGGCAAATAGAATGAATAGTGTAGATGATACAATGATATTTTCTCTGGTTAACACGGTGTGAAAAGGCGCGTGATGAGTATATACCGTTGTGATAAATAGATGCTCTGGCTCGGTGAAACGGAATGATGCCACGTGTCTCCTTACCTGGCAAAGGAGTGAACCAACGAACGATGGCGGTGCTTCGTCATCATCTTCTCCAAAAGATTTCTCTTTTTTTCATCACAGGGCTCCAATCCCTCACTCTCTCTCTCTCTCTCCATTTTCTCTCTCTATACATATATATCTTACATATACATCTATCGTGAGCTGTTCTACATAGATATACATCTATCGTGAGCTGTTCTACATAGATCTTCTTCGTTTATTCTCAGAACGCACAAAAATTTCAAAAAGGTGAGGGAGAGAAAGAAGATTCTCTTCTGTGGCTATTTTTTGATTGGTTAGGGTTTCGTGAATTTGAGGCTGTCTTCGTTTTCTAGGGTTTCTTGAATCTCAAAATCGCCATTTACAGGTAGCGTTTTTCTTCTATACCTAATTCAGTGTATTGAAAAGTGGTTGATTTTGTTATTGGAATTTGAATCTGGATTAAGGAATTAGGGTTTCGAGGGGTTGAGCTAAATTTCGTTGTACTGTTTTGTTTAAATCTATTGAATTCCAAGGAGGTAATGGGGTGTTGATGATTGTTGTTTGTAAATGAGAAGCTTTTGGGCAATATTTATGGAGAATCAATCAATAATAATTTGGTATGTGTTAGGTGAGAGAGTGGTTTTGGCACATGTGGTTGGGGTAATGGAAAATTTCGGCAAATGGGTGTGAGTGATACTCATGTGTTGTATAGAAGCTGCATGCTTGAGACAATCATTATTGCAATTCGAAACCCGTATTGATCAGCAACGCCATCAGGCAGCGTACTCAATGGATAGTCCTTCCACCACCCCGGGTTCTCTTCCGAGTTCTACTGACGAAAACCCACGTGTAAAATTTTTATGTAGTTTTTCAGGTAGTATTTTGCCACGCCCCCAAGATGGGAAGCTGCGGTATGTGGGTGGTGAGACGCGAATTGTGAGTGTGCCCCGAGATATTACTTATGAAGAGCTGATGGTGAAAATGAGAGAGCTTTATGAAGGGGCAACAGTGTTGAAATATCAGCAGCCTGACGAGGATCTTGATGCGCTCGTGTCAGTTGTGAATGATGATGATGTAACCAACATGATGGAGGAGTATGATAAATTGGGTTCTGGAGATGGGTTCACTAGACTCAGGATTTTTTTGTTTCCGCATCCTGATCAGGATGGTTCTTCGCATTTTGTGGATGGGGATGAAAGGGATACTGAGAGGAGATATGTTGATGCTTTGAACAGCCTTAATGAATCCCCTGAATTTAGGCAACAGCAGGGTTGTGAATCAATAGTAACAGGTACGGTAGATGATATCCATGTTGCAGAGCAGTACTTTAACCAGATAAGCCTTGAGGGTAGCCTCCATAACCAGAGGAATTATGAGTTACCCATTCCACAGTTTAACTTGTGTCACCTCACAATACCTCATACGGGTTCAGGGCAGCACCAGCAAATGGAGGCTCCATGGAGTCCTGCATACTACTCCCCTAGGCATCCTGGGAACCATGATCCAAGGCCAGTGGCAGAGTTCCCAACTTCACCTTCTTCGGCTCGATTCCATTCTCCATATGGGGAGTTCTCAGAAAAAGGTTTGGATAGAATGTCTGAGGAATACAGTCGACAGCAAATGAGTCATCCATTCCCATATGACCACAAGCCGCAATTTTCGGACAATGTAGTATGGTTGCCAAATGGGGGTATACCTGGTGATAAATCTGGTTTCCCGGGTAATATACTTCATGGCCCCAATGTTTTTGATGGAAGTAACATCTGTGAGCACTGCCGAATGACTTTCCAAAGAAATGAAGCTTATCCTGATTTCCCTTGGAAGCATGGAGAACAACCACATTTGGAGCAGCCCCATATGGCCAATGCATTTCAGCAGGTTTCTGGTCTGTGTGCTGAGTGCCATCCAAATAGGGAAGCTTTTGTGTTGAATGAAGATGCAAAGTTTCACCATGGCTTCTACCCGAGAGAACAAAATGATGCTCGACCAATCTACAATGAAACTCATATTCAGGAAAGAGGATGGATTCTGCAGCCTCAGTTAAATCCTCGAGTTGATGAACCAAGATCACAAATTCCTGGAACTGGAAGATTGAATGAGCACTACTTTGTAGATGGCACTGGTATGAATATCCCCATTACTCCAGGCAATATATCAGAAGGCTATCCCGTGACCCCAAATTATGTTCATCCCGAAGACCCACGGTTCCTCAGGTCTGGACCTGAATTGGGGAATGAAGTGTTTCATGACCAAGCTTTGGCCTCTGCTTCTCACGTCCACCATATTCCTTCTGTTGATGAGCGTGGGGCTAGGTATGGGAATTTTCCTTATGTGTATGGAGCAGATAATCTTTACCAAACGGCAAATGGACATGCACCTGCACATAATTTACGGAGACATGTTCATAACCCATTGCATGGGGCTCCCTCATATGAAGTATGTGCTGCACCTCATCTAGCAAATGGTACAAGTACAGGATTTGTGAGGGGTACATTGGACGGTAGTCCCAGGTTCTGTATTGGGACGGAGAATCAAAATCCTTTGGTTGAGTCATCACAAAAAATGATGGGCTTTGATGGATCTGCTTTCCCAGGAAATTTTTATGGCCATGCCTTAAAATTGACACCTAATGTATGTATTCTGGAAAATGAATGCTCACATGCTGCAGAATATGTTCAATCCCCAACTGATATGATAAATTTAGCCACTCCTACAGAAGCTGTACAGTTACCTGATCCTGCCTGGACTTTGACGAATGATAAGTTGGTTTCTTTAACCACTTCTGGCCTGGAATTAAGAAATGACATAAATGTTGCCGAATCGTCAAGGATGGAGGAGAAAGGAACTACTGGAGAAGGAAAAGAAACGAATCATGCAGACAAGGTCGAAGTCTCCAATATGCAGAGTGTCTCTGCTCCAGAGCAAAAGACGAATCTTGATGAGGTGGCACCTCATGAGTCTATCCATTCAAATGGCTTGAGGCCTGCTGAAGAGTGCAGTGGCATTGTTAAATCAGATGAAATTGGTGCTCAGGCTCCTCTTGAAGATAAAGAACTCTGTGATCGACTGAGTTTCTTACCTGAATTGATTGCTTCTGTAAAGAAGGCAGCATTAGAAGATGTTGAGGACGTGAATGCTAAAGTTCAAGAAGATACTAATTCCGTTACTGGGCGTGGTGCAACTGCAAAAGAAGAAACTGGAAATGAATTAGAGTTAGTGGTGAGAACTCATCATATTTTCTTGTTAGAGCATGACGTAATATTTCCATGACGTAATATTTCCCTTCTCAAATTTCCTACATTTTTTTGTTGTTGGCAGGATGTGCATGGGGACATGGAATTGGATTCTGACAATGACAATCCGAACAATTCCAAGATTGAGACAACAAAGGCTGAGGCCGAAGCTATTGCTAGGGGATTACAGGTTGCTATTCACTGTCTCATTCACATGATTAGTACATTTATATCATGTACCTAGCCTGCATCTGTTTATTATCTCCATCTCATTTTCTGATAAGTGCATCTTCATCTCATTATACATGTTCATGTTAGATAACTTGATATACATTGTTGGGCCCATTTCCTAATAGATTAGGCTTTTGAAAAAATTGGTAACTTAACATGTGTAGGGTAAAGCACTTACCATCTCACCAAAACCCATAGGCAGTGGTAAATGCGCAACTTTATTTCTTTAAAGGGTACAACGCTAAGCTCCACAAGTTGATTGTGACTTGGCCTCACCCTGGACCTCCACCACGCAGGACGCTAGCCCCAACCTAGGCCAACAACATGATATCAGAGCTCTGGTTGAAAGAGGTCTTGGGTTAAAGTCTCTCTATTGATATTTGGTATTCAGACCCATTAGATTTCTTCTTCTTTGTTTGGTTGTCTGCTTCTCCTTCTGTTTGGTTTTTTTGTTTGTTTCTCCACGTGCAGGATGGGGTTGCACGTGAGAGAGGGTGTTAGATAGCTTTGATATACATTGCTAGGCCCATTTCCTATCAGCTTAGGCTTTTGAGAAAACTGGTAACTTAACAGTTCACACACACGCGAGCGCGTGCGTGCGCACACACAGACACATATAATAAAACAGATCAGTTTTTGAAAAATGTGCTAACAATTAGGTATTGCTTTACAAATAATGAAATGCCATCAGGCACTAGGCAATTTTGCTAGTATATTATATTTCTTCTCTTACGAGCTTTGTTCATGTGCTTCCATTTTTCTGATGTGCTCATTATTTGTTTAGACTATTAAAAATGACGATCTGGAGGAGATTAGAGAACTAGGTTCGGGTACATATGGGTCTGTATATTATGGCAAGTGGAAGGGTTCTGATGTGGCAATAAAGAGAATCAAAGCCAGCTGCTTTGCTGGGAGACCTTCTGAGAGGGAACGTCTGGTATTTTCTATATCCTAAACACTCCTTCATGATATTCTCTTTCTTTCATCCAGACATTATGCATACTGTGGATTTGTTTTATGTTTCCTGGCATGATGATATGAAGAAATCTGATAAAGCCATGTTTTATAGGGCACATCATTTATTATTGATGGTGGTGCGAGCTAATAAAAACGAAAATCTATGTTGTTGTCTAATATGAAGAAGAAAATTTGTTTCAACTAGGAGAATTGTCTCTGTTGGAACTGTCAACAAATTGAAAAAGAAAAGAAAGTTTACTATAGAGCTGTTAGACATACTGATTTTATGTATAGAAGTTTGCTCCTTCAGTATCACCTAACAAACTGAAATCTTGGTCTTATTATTACATTTGCAACTATACTTACAGCATGACCATGGTTTTTCACGTTGGACATATTTTTACAGTTAATTACTGACAACTAGTCCTTTTACAGTTAATCTCCAAGGCTGTTTTAGATGATCCTGATGAATCCTTTAAGATGGTTCTGATCTATTCTTCTCACAGCCATGAAACCGTTCCCATTTTAGCCCTGAAACTTGCTAATCAATGTAATTTGAACATTGGTTTTTGTTCTCATGTGGGGGGATGCTCTATCCTTCGTTTGTTTCCTTCCCATGTCTAAGTTTGGATGGAAAATAAAATATTGTATATGATGTTCATGCTTGTTCAATTTGCTGTGTGTATCTGTGCATGACATTGCCATCTTAACTCTATTCTAGTTAGTCGACACTTTTATGCATTGTCTATGTAGAATTTGGTAGGATCTAATTGCTTTTATTTAAAAAAGAAAAAAGGGGAAGACATCTTATACCTTCTTTTGTTGCCTGGAGTTGATTGTGCTGCAGTTAGCATTTTTTTTTCTAGTCTCAATTGACTTTTTCTCTTATTGGGCTTTATAGATTGCAGACTTTTGGAAAGAGGCTTTGATATTAAGCTCATTACATCATCCAAATGTTGTTTCTTTCTATGGTATAGTCCGTGATGGTCCTGATGGATCTTTAGCGACTGTGACAGAATTCATGGTTAATGGATCTTTGAAACAGTTTATACGGAAAAAAGACAGGTAGTCTTTTTTTATGGCTCTATAGTCTGTTTCCTATAGAAAATCTTAGCTGTTTCTTCTTTGTTAATAATAATAAATAAATAAATAAATAAAAAGAAGAGAAAATCTTAGTTGTTTCCTATTGCAGGTATGATGTACATGAAGGTGTTCTTTGTTTGCTCAATATACAAACTATTCATTGATTTGACAGTGAATGATTGATTTTAATTATACTGTTGTCCAGAACAATTGATCGTCGTAAGAGGCTCATCATAGCTATGGATGCTGCATTTGGAATGGAGTACTTGCATGGAAAGAACATTGTGCATTTTGATTTAAAATGTGAAAACTTGTTAGTAAATATGAGAGATCCACACCGACCAGTGTGTAAGGTATGCTGAATCAAATTTTCTGTAAATGTTTATTTAGTTTTTGTCTTGTGCTTGTGGTTGTGGCAAACATTTTAGTCATATGATTTGCTTTTGAGGTTTCTTGGAAGTTCTCATTTCCACTTCTCACCTGCTGTAATTGTTTAGTAGTTCAGATGGGAAGCTTGATATGGTTTTTTAACTTATAATGGATTTGATCATGTTTAACTCTTGTTACATGGTGCTTCTGTTACAAAATGTGATCGCTCATCCATTGTTTGCATTTCTTTTTAGATTGGTGACCTTGGCTTATCAAAAGTAAAACAACACACTTTAGTGTCAGGGGGTGTTCGTGGAACCTTACCTTGGATGGCACCTGAACTTCTTAGTGGAAAGAGTAACATGGTTACAGAAAAGGTAAGATTATTCTAAGCATAAACTTTAGAAATATTCAGTTTACATAATTGTACTTCATTTTCTCTCTAAGAGGTTTTTAATTTCCTTTTTTAGTTTCTTTTGTGTATATTATTATTTCTTTTTTTTTTTCTGCATTGTAGATTGATGTTTACTCATTTGGGATTGTCATGTGGGAATTGCTCACGGGAGACGAACCGTATGCGGATATGCATTGTGCTTCTATAATAGGTATGTACTGATATATCTATCTAGTTTTGCAACAAAATGTATAATTCCTATCTTCTTTTTTTCCTCCTCTTTTTTTTTTTTCTTTTATTTGTTTATATATATATATACTAAAAAAGAAGATAAGAATTATACTCTTCATTACAAAATTAAATATAATTCTTACTTTTTTAAGCAGTTACTTAAAAAGGACATTCTTGTTATAATCTTGTAGAAGTCTTGCAGTCAGTATGTTTGTTTTGTTTTAAGCTAAAAAGTGAGTGCTTGGTAAACAAAGGAGCTTGACATAATGGATGGTTTTAGTGCTGATTTCTGTTTAAGACATTTTTATTCACATAGGATATTGGATTTTTCCCTTTCTTTTCCATTTGATCCCCCAAATATAACTCATTGAACTGGTTCCACACTCTTTAATTTTATTGTCCCCTTTTATATTTTAATTCTTATGCCAGAGATAATTTGGGACAGGAAAAAATTGTATTAATGTTGCAAAGGTGAACTTTTCAATTGTTGTTCTATCCTAGCATATGAAAAAGTTAATGTTTTATCCTAATTATGTCTGCTTAAGAATTTACACTGTAGGATGGTGATTGGTTTGGAACCAATTTGCCTTTAGTTAAGTTTTTTGTAATCTTGTTCGGTAGACCAGTAATTCTGTTACTAGGGTTCATTTTGCTTCCATTATATGTGAGGTGCACTTGATTAGAGGCCTATTGATGTAGGATGACTTTACGAAACTTGGGTTAATGCTGCCTACACTAAGTATTGTTATGGGTTTTAGTTTTGGAAAGTTTCTAGGATTTGGAGGTAAAAGAAAGATTTATGTGTTTATAAGAAAGAAGGGGACTAAATCAAGGGTTTGTAGCGTGGATTAGAAGGAAAGAAACATTAGGCACAATATGATCAAAGAAGAAGAAAGAGAGGACAAAAAATGAACCATTTAGCTTACCTTTGCAAGAGTAAAGAAAATGTCACACAAATCATAGCCATCAATTTTCCGTAATATCAACTCCATAATCAATGGCCCTTGTTCAAGGGTACTAGGTTTTATTCAAGGGCAATAGGAGAAATGTATGTGTAATCTAAAAATTGTGATACTGTAGGATGGTGATTGGTTTGGAACCAATTTGCCTTTAGTTAAGTTTTTTGTAATCTTGTTCGGTAGACCAGTAATTCTGTTACTAGGGTTCATTTTGCTTCCATTATATGTGAGGTGCACTTGATTAGAGGCCTATTGATGTAGGATGACTTTACGAAACTTGGGTTAATGCTGCCTACACTAAGTATTGTTATGGGTTTTAGTTATGGAAAGTTTCTAGGATTTGGAGGTAAAAGAAAGATTTATGTGTTTATAAGAAAGGAGGGGGCTAAATCAAGGGTTTGTAGTGTGGATTAGAAGGAAAGAAACATTAGGCACAATATGATCAAAGAAGAAGAAAGAGAGGAAAAAAAATGAACCATTTAGCTTACCTTTGCAAGAGTAAAGAAAATGTCACACAAATCATAGCATCAATTTTCCGTAATATCAACTCCATAATCAATGGCCCTTGTTCAAGGGTGCTAGGTTTTATTCAAGGGCAATAGGAGAAATGTATGTGCAATCTAAAAATTGTGATTTGGACCGTTTTTGAATTGGACCATTTAAATAGATGGGATTGGCTAATAGAATGAGATACATCCAAATATGTAAATTTAATTTTTTATGAACTAATCTAAAATTGAGAGATTCAATGTCTATATTGTTCATATCTTATAGAAATTTTGAATTAACTCATTCAAAAATTTGCATGTCTTGAATTAGTTAATTTAAAATGAAAGAATTCAATTTGTACAACAAAATGAATCAGAGTATGTGTAAAGTGACATTCATTTTTGTTTTGGAAATATGAATGGGTAAAAGAACTACAAAATGTTCTTCTTTCCTACTTCAATATATTCCAATAATTTTATTTACGAGTTAAACTGTGAAAAGATTCAAAGAAATCCTTGATGATCATAGTGGTTAAATTTGATGGTTGTCATTTATTTCTCAAATTAATCTTAAAAATTTGAAGATCTGACGTAGAACCAGGAAGAAGAGTTATGAAAGAGAATAAGGAAAACAGGGAAGGAGAAATATGGGGAATAATCCCAAATCAAATATTTTTAATTCTTCTATATCCAAATGATATTTTAATAAAACCATTACATAAAAGGCCTCTTTATAGGCATCCTGGGATACACAAATTAAAGTTATCAAAAAAACAAAACAAAAAACTACAATGATTAAATCCTAATAAAACAATAAAACCTAATAAATAAAAGATATAAGGTAATTTCTAATAAATTAATAAATATCCAATCTTCAAGTTGCGCTCATTAATGCTTTCTCACTACCTATCAATATACTTGTATAATTCTTCCTTAGTATTAGTTAAATTAAATGACAAATGTATTAGAACAAAATTGTGCTTGCAATTGAATGAATTAACAAGGAAAAATACATTAAAAAATAACATAAAAAAATGGAAAGGGACTTGACTGGCAAGGGTGGCCTATATTACCTCCTTTGTTTTTTAGAGAAGAACATGGGTTTGGTAAAAGAACTCAAGTTTTTAGGGTGGACAATGTAAGTGGCAGGAATCCAAAGTCGTCTTCTCTTGTTTGCTACCCTCCTTTGGTTATATTACCTCTGTGTGGAGTGGAGAAGACGGATTTTTTTTTAAGACCTTTTGGATGCTAAAGACAAGGGTGGGTTCAAGCAGAAGAATATCAAGGGGACCATGGGATACAATAGTGGGGGTAGGCAGTGAAGCAGAAGAGGTTTTGAGGAGGAGGATTTACAGGATGTTAGGAGGGTTTCTAAATAGAGTTCTTATTCACAAGAGATGTAGGAGAGTCGAGTGGTGAAGTAGGGATTGGTGTAAAGGTAGGCCAAGCTTCAAAAGAATTCATGTGAGTTTGAATTTCATTTGACCATTTGACTATTTAGATTATTTTGTTTATACCATTTGACTAATTCTTGTACGTGCAGATGTAAATTTTTTTGGGAATTCTTGAAATTAGTTTTAAACTATAAAATTACTGATTCTTGTTAATCATATTGAGTGTCACCAATTATATTGGGCTTTTTAGATAATATTGATAATTACTTGTTAATGATCTACACACTTGTTTAGATATTAGTAATAATTTCTTTGAGCCTTTGTTATTGACAATGCTAAATGTCTTATTCTCCCTTGAGTTGTTGATGGCCCAAAGGACCGAGTGATGTTTGTGCATGTGTGTTTTGGTGGGGGTGGGGTTGTCTTTGGGGCTGATCGCAAAACTTTCCTATTGGTGGAGAGCTTGAGATCAGGGCCTCCAACTAAAATAACGAGGAAGTTATTATTGTCATGTAAAATTTTCTTATTTATTATATTGGTAGACTGGAAATCTAAGGGCTGGCATAATGCTGAATATTGTTTTGTTACGACTTTTGCTTTATTTGTGCTCTTAATAAGCTGATCCATTGAAATCTTCGTGGTTTTCTCATGCCGTTATATTCTGCATTTTCCGTGACAATAAGGTGTGTGCGCCTTTGTTTACATGAGAATTGCACTGAAGAACCAAGTCAACAGTGCTGGTTGGTTTAGAAAAACCTAATTATTGTCCATAATTGATATCTATGTTTGTATTGTAATCTACAAATACATTCATAGCAGACTTCTTGTGCTTGTATATTACACTATCTTACAAAATGCGACACTTCAGTCCTCAATTCATTATTCTTCTTTATCCTATTTTAGGAGTTGAAGTGTCCTCAATTCATTATTCTTCTTTATCCTATTTTAGGAGGAATTGTAAACAACACCTTACGCCCGCAAATTCCAACATGGTGTGATCCTGAATGGAAGTCTTTAATGGAAAGTTGTTGGTCCTCCGAGCCGGCAGAGAGACCATCGTTTTCAGAAATCTCTCAGAGGTTGAGGAACATGGCTGCACCAATGAAATAATGCCAATCCTGGAGTAAACAATTTCTCTTGAATGAAGGTTAGATGAATGCTAAGAAGAGCGAAAATAAAAAAAGAATAGTTTTTGCAGTTTTTCAGTCAGCCTATCCTTTCCCTAGTCTGCAGGCTAATAATATGCATTCCCATGCCCTCATTTTTCTCCCTTGAACTTTTATTATCGACATGAAAGGGTTTTTTTTTTATGAAGTATAATTATATGTGCTCTGAACCCGGTATTACAAGAATGACTACAATACATACCCTGAGGAGAGCTATGATTGCCCATGGAGAATGTAAGTATTTCCTATTTACATCTACTTATTTTGGAATATTTGCTTTCAATGGATATGGTTTTTGCGGATATGATGAAATTTTAAATTTGTATTTTGCAGGCTGTTATTATTTTTGGATGTGTTTGGGATGGTGGTGCGGTTCTTCCTTACATGGGTGTTTTTTATTCTGTCCTATTGAGGCTGAACTGACCGGCTATGAAAGAATGTGTATATAAGTCGAAGATATTAGTGACCTTGGCTTTATCTAGGCTGCAGAATGATGCATTTATCTTTTACGCTGTGTTTGGTTGGAGGATTTGGGGAGAAATTTGAAAAAAGAAAGGGAAAAAATGTGTGAAATTAAGTGAAATATAAGTATGTTTTGTTTACATTTCATCTACCTTTTTCATTTTCCTTTCCAAATCCCTCATCAAATCTCCCAACCAAACATAGTATTAGAGTTTCAGACGAGACTTGGAGCCTTCTTTTGTTATATGTTTTCGACATTACGTCATTTCATACTATGTTCGCTTTCAACATATTATATGTTTACTGTAGAATCTGGTTCTGGAGATGTAAAAAAAAATTGGATTATTTTGTAAGAATATGAAGAATTTGTCATTTGGGTTATGGAGATCTTACCGGTGATATAAAGTTCTGTTGATTGGCGGTAGGGAGTTGCTGAATCGAGGGTATTATTATTATTTATTCATCAGACAGTATGTTAATGATATAGCAGTGACTATTGAAATCATCAATTATATTACCAAATTAGATTAGGGAAGATAAAATGCAGGGTCATGGTGGTTGAAAATTTGTTGTTTGATTTTTTTATTTTATTTATGCCCTTTATCTATGCTCTTTGAATTCATTCATTTGGTTTGCCAAAATCTTATGAGAATGCTGAGTAGGAATATGATTAATTACTTTAGGTTTGTCAAAAATAAAGTATATTCACTATGTTTAGTTTTAATTTTCTGAACTCAATTTCTTGAAAATTGAGTTTTTTGTTTTTCATGTGTTTTTATTTTTAGTGAATATTTTTAAAATTTTAAGTAATTTTTTTATTTTTTTTAGATGTATTTTACTTAGAGAAATTTAAATAGTAAAATATTTGTGAAAAAAATATTTTAAAAATTAGTAAGGGCAAATTACACTAACAGTTTATATAGTTTGAGACTTGTGTTACTTTAGTCCTTGATTTTTTAATTGTGACACATTTGATCCTGAATTTTGAATCTTGTTTCGAATAAGGACAATTGAAGATACTATTGTTTAATTTTAAAGGTAAAATTGTCAATTTAATAATATATAAACTAATTTGACAAAAATAAATATTAAATTTTTTTTTTAATTTTTTAAAAATTGTTTCTATCTACTAAAGATAAAATTATGTAAAATTAATCAAAATTACATGATTAATTTTTAAAAATTAATTTTATATAATCATCTTCCAAACACATAATAAAAATTAATTTGGTAAAAAAATAAATAAATGTCTAAAAGATGTATCATATTTACCTAATTTTATCTTTAGTGGGTAGAAATAATTTTTAAAAATTCAAAAATATTTTTTTGACATTTATTTTTGTTAAATTAGTTTATATTTTATCAAATTGACGATTTTACCCTTGAAAAACCTAATGATATCTTCAATTGTTCTTATTGGAAACAAGATTAAAAATTCAGGATCAAATGTGTCACAACTGAAAAGTCAGGGATTAAAGTGACACAAGCCCCAAACTATAAGGACTATTAGTATAATTCACCAAATTAATAAATACACAAAAATACGAAAAATATATTGAATTTATATATATATATATATATATATATTGTATTTTTGGTATTTAGTAAATATTTTTATGATTTTTTCATAAATATTATACTTTTTAAGTGTATTTATGACAGGTGTGTCTAAAAATCTAAAAAAAAAAATTTGTTTAAAATATTAAAAAAAATTTGTGAAAACAAAAAAGTATGAAAAATAAAAAAAAATAGAAGTTTTTGAAAAATGAATTCTGAAAATGAAAACAAAACAAGAGTGATTATTATTATTTATTATTATTTTTTCAGGTTTTGTTGCATACGCACTTTCTGAGTTTTCACACAAACTAGAGCACCGCATCACCATGCATGTAGCTTTTACAAATGTGCAACTTTCATCATTTCAATCCAAAACGGAGGATTGGCGTGTTCAAAATTTCATATGAGAGAGGTCGCGAATTTTAAGGCTCGTATGTGAAATTCAAAAACATAGTAGGACAAAATCCTAACACCCGTGATAGAAAAAAATAAAAATTATTAAAGCACTTATTGAAAATAAAAGATAATTTTTGTGTACAAAATACAAGCAAAATAGGTTATTGCTAGTATTGAGCAATTGTATTTTTTTTGGGAAATTTAGTCAAAATTTATCCATTGAATCTTTGTTTGATGAAAAGGAAAGTCTAATTTATTTTATTTCATAAACTCTCTAAGGTGGAGGTACATAATTAATTTATTTTATTTCATAAACTCTCTAAGGTGGAGGTACATAATTAAGTAAGGACAAAGTAAATTTTTTGTTCTTAGATAATATTGTCAGAGTAACATGTTATTGTGAACCAGAAAAACATGTTTACTGTGAGACAGAGTAATTAACTTGTTATATGTTATTATTTATATCAATTTCGACAGTAACAAATTTTTGTTTTTTTTTTTGTTTTTTGTTTTTTATTTTTAGTCAACAAGGATCTTATTTAATAGATCTTGGTAAGAAAATTCTAAAAATATTAATTTTATTAAAAATCGACATTTAAGTCAAAAGTTATATTATTTTAAAATTTCATATTTTGATAATAGTGATATGTGTTGAATTTTTTAAGAAAAACTTTTTTTTATTTATCCTTAATACATTAAAATTTTATTATCAAAAAATTTTGACCACCACCACTCATTGTACATGATCATGACATTATCATCCAAAAACAAAGGATGGAATGATTGAATTTTCATAGCAAGCGAAACCATCACATGAGTTTTTTTTTTTTTTTGACATAATTAAATGGAAATCTTTTTTATTGAATTCTATTGTACTTAGGGGCAGAGCCAAGATTTCTCTGGTTGAGGCCATTTCGCCCAAGAGAAGGTATAGGATAAATTTACTGAGCCGTCGATGGATCCGTTGGAGTTTTATTTGATTAAATTATTATTAAATATTACACAATAGAGATCAATTGGACCAATAAAATTATAAAAGATCTGTCTTAATTAAATATTATTTGTATAAATTTTATGGTTAAGGATGTCAAAAAATAAGAATTTAAAGATAAACGTTAAGGTAATATTTGGTAATCTTAATATAATTAATCTATTATACAATATCTTTAGGTACATAAAGTTTTAAAAGTGATTCTATTAAATACATTATAGAAACTCACAAATAAACTATATTATTTTTAACATGGACCGAATTAAATTTCTTCAATAATGTTTCAATTTTTTTTTTTTTTTTTGAACTACAATAATGTTAGAATGATCATCTTTTTTACCATTATTTGTTTATTACATCAACCACTCACATTTGATACTAATATAGCATTAACACATAAGAGAATAAATAATACTTAATAAAAAAATATGATTATCATAACATTATTATAAATGTTTTCTTTAAAAGGTACCTCTTCTATATTAGGGCCTTTATAAATTTTTTTTAAGTGTTAGATTAAAATTAAAGAAGCCATTATGCAATATATAAAAAAAAATTTAATAAAATTTTTATAGAAGGTTGGAGGGACCAAGGCCCCGACCCCGCGCCGATTGTACTTGATCATAACCTAATCATCCGAACCAAAGCATTATGAATTTGAAACTCCATAACAACAAATGAAACCAACATTACGTGATTTTGGTAGGTCCATTATACCTACTCAAAGTAGTACTAGCATCATATGTATATACTATTTCAAACAGCTTGTTGACTTTATTCTGTGTCCCCATGAATGCCATGAATAATATCATTGTCAAGCTTTCTATTTCCTGCTGTGATCACCATTGAAACAGTCACTCATTCCAAATAACATCTACCGACTTGGCTTGTAAAATAAAATATGCCAAGGTCAAATTCTATGACACCACTCTTCATACCTAATACGCGGGATTGACCTCTCTCTCTCTCTCTCTCTCTCTCTCTCTCTTAATTTCAAGTCAATCTTGTGGTTTATATGAAAGATGAACTGCAAAGTACCAAAAATGCCCTCTCTTTTTCTTTGATGTGCTAATATCCAATTGGGCAAATAGTAATTGTGCATGGATTGTAAAGGGTAAATTACACCTTTAACCCTTGTAATTTGATTAAAATTTCATTTCGATCCCTATAATTTTAAATTGAATAATTTGATCCTTACATTTAAGTTTAGTTTCAATTTGATTTTTCTATTTAAGTTGGCGATTAAAATTAAAGATTTTAGTACCTTTATCAATTACTTAAATAAAAAAATAACGACAATTTGAATAGAATAACTAAATTGAAACTAAACTTGAAGCATATAGATTAAATTATTCAAATTAAAACAATAGGTACCAAAGTGAAATTTTAGTCTAATTATTGAAATGGAAAGTGTAATTTATTCTAAATTTAATGTTCAACATCCCCATAGTTGGGATGTGCGATGCTAAGAAAATCCAACTTTTAATTTTAAATCTCAAAGGTATAAGTGAAATTTTGAACAATCTTTTCAATCGTTTTCTTTCAATCTCAAATGAAAATCTCACTTGAGCAAAAAGTTTAAAAAATCAAATAAGTTAGAATCTAAATTACAACCATGTCTCATTAGTTAAGTTATTTTAATCGAATAAGTTGACTTAGAAGCCCTACCAAAGGGATGAGACCAATTGGACATGCACTTTGGTTTTACATCGATAGAAAATCATTTTAGTAACAATAAAAAGAAAGGAGAAAAATGAAATGGATCATTCTAAAACTAGAATAATATTCATTCTATGTACGGTTCTACTTAATAAATTAAAATTTTATTTTAAAAATAAAAAAATATTTTTATAATTACGATAAAATTATTTACAATCAAATAAATTTAGCTATTTTCAAGACAACTACACTTAATTATTACTATTATTATATTTTTTCACCCTAAATATTAAATAACAAAAATATGTGTTATAACATAATTGATAAATATAAAAGGCAAAATATAAGGTAAATTACAAAAATTACCTTATGGTAAAATATAAATAATTTATTTATTAGAGTTTCATAATGGTAGCTTGTCTTATGCTAGTTCACCCAATTTATAACAAATCATCAATTATTTTTTACCCTTTGACATTTTTTGTGAATCTCAATAAAATTTTTGATTTTTCAAAATTTCAAATTTGATAACTAAAATTTTGTTTTGAACTTTTCATTCAAAGATTTTAAAATTTCAAATGAGATGTAACTTAAATATAGATAAAATTACATTTTGGACTTTCTATTTAAAAATTTTCAAAATTTCAAATGAGATATGAGTCAAATGAGTCAATGGTATTATGTCACATATATGTTTTTTTTATTATATGTTTTTAAGAATAAAAAAATTTAAAAGATTTAGCCTCCCTTTGGGAAGTTGAGGTTTGGGATTTTTTGGCTAAGATAGCCACAAAAAAACAAAATAGTCTTTTTAGCCCAAT